GGGCAGGCCAGCGGGTGGACAACGGGCACAGGCAGGCAGAACACAGGCCCGGTGACAGGCGGTGGCTGGTATGCACCATGTGGCACTGACAGCTGGAACGGAGAAACAGTATAAGAAGGCAGAGATGACAAGCAACAGCTGGGTTGAATTTGCCTGGTGTAACAGATGAGCTGCAATCAGCCACTGAAGCCAGAGAGGAAAGACGGAGCAAGGGGAATTCCCTGCTCCAAACCCGGAAGTGGCGCCGAACATGACACTGTGTGGGAGCCCTACATAACCTTCAGGTGCTGACAGTGGCAGGGGGGAAAATGGACATTTCAGAAGCCTGCTACAGAACACGACTCACTGCTTGTGTTTGGGGCCTGCAGCTATAAAACAGACACAGTCCTGTGCTTCGCTCCAGCCATCACCGCTGACGGCGCTCTTTATTCACAGCTGCTCCTCACCAACACCGCATCAGCCTGTTAGTGCACTTTACAACAGTTTGCTCAGAACAACAGAGTTAATGTCTCTAACAAACCGTTTTCACATTCACATACAATATTTTTAAACAATGGATTTGAATTTGTAAACTCATGCCAAATGAAACAAACGTATATTTGCCTGGAACAAATGTTTGTGCCTGAAACTCGACTGAACAACACAACAAAGCTGCTACAGAACCAGTGACAACAGATTTTACAGTGGCAGAAAATAACATCACTGCTACCAAGACGAAATAAGTTCTGGCATTAAAGGCACAACCGGTGAAGCAAATGCTCTGTAAACCAAAGTGAAAGCTCGTGCACTGACAACTAAACTGCAGGAACAGACGTTGTGTTTCCTACAGAGACACTGAGGAACCAGGAGACCAGAACCCAAACCCAGGATAAAGAGGTTCAGTGAATGTGGTGTTGAAGGTGTGGAGGTGGACCAGTGTGTCAGAGGAGACTGTGTAGAAGGACAGAGTGCCGGCAGGACAGTCCACATACACTGCTGCTCTGTCAGACACCAAGGAGGAGGAAGAGGAGAAGATGGAGGAGACTGACGTTTTTTTGTTTCTGTGCCAGACGTAGTAACCTCCATTAAAGCACTCCAGGCTCCACGACTGACCGTTCCTTCCAAACACAATGTCGTCAAGGTCTCCTCTCCTGCTAATTCCCCTGTAGCTCACAGACAAATCGACACTTCCACTCCACTTGACCTCCCAGTAACAGCGACCAGTCACACCAGTTGTACACAGCAGCTGACAGCAGCGGTCAAATCTGTGTGGGTGATCTGGATATGGCTGATTCTCTCTCACTAATGTCACCGTCATGTTGTTGTCAGACATTCTGAGCTTCCTGTTCACTGTGTTTGGGTCCAATTCCAGGTCACAGGCCCCTGATGGAGAGAGAAGACACAGCTGATGCCTTGTTCTTCATCAACTTACTGACACGCCATTACAACAAAGTTTATCCCACAACTAAAGACAAACTGACAGTGTGTCATTTTTGTCGTCATTAAGATAAGAAGCCTTTATTGTCATTGTATTAAAAATACAACTAAATTTTGAGTGCCCTTCCCAGCGGGGTTTAAACACACACATCCTTACATAAATAACAGACCCACACGCACACAGTCAACCACCTTCCACGTCACGTGCCAGTATTCATCATAATCATAAAAGGCCAAATGAAGTGCACACTTACACCTCCTCACACCGGGCCTTAACCTGCGCTCTCCACCATGGTCCAGCCTGGAGGAGACAAACAGTCAGAAGGGTTTCTGTCCAACATGAGTCGTGTAATATTAGGGCAAAAA